CTGATCTTAGTGGAAATGCTTTCTGTTTTTCACCATTGAGGACGTTGTTGGCTTTGGGTTTGTCATATATGGCCTTTATTATGTTGAGGCAAGTTCCCTGTATGCCTACTTTCTGCAGGGTTTTTGTCATAAATGGGTGTTGAATTTTGCTGAAAGCTTTCTCTGCATCTATTGAGATGATCATATGGTTTTTATTCTTAAATTTGTTAATATGGTGTATCACATTGATTGATTGCCGTATATTGAAGAATCCTTGCATTCCTGGAATAAACCCCACTTAATCATGGTGTATGATCCTTTTAATGTGCTGTTGGATTCTGTTTGCTAGTATTTTGTTGAGGATTTTTGCATCTATGTTCATCAGTGATATTGGCCTGTAGTTTTCTTTCTTTGTGACATCCTTGTCTGGTTTTGGTTATCAAGGTGATGGTGGCCTCGTAGAATGAGTTTGGGAGTGTTCCTCCCTCTGCTATATTTTGAAAGAGTTTGAGAAGGATAGGTATTAGCTCTTCCCTAAATGTTTGATAGAATTCACCTGTGAAGCCATCTGGTCCTGGGCTTTTGCTTGTTGGAAGATTTTTGATCACAGTTTCAATATCAGTGCTTGTGATTGGTCTGTTCATATTTTCTATTTCTTCCTGACTCAGTCTTGGCTTGTTGTGCATTTCTAAGAATTTGTCCGTTTCTTCCAGGTTGTCCATTTTATTAGCATAGAGTTGCTTGTAGTAATCTCTCATGATCCTTTATATTTCTGCAGTATCAGTTGTCCCTTCTCCTTTTTCATTTCTAATTCTATTGATTTGAGTCTTCTCCCTTTTTTTCTTGATGAGTCTGGCTAATGGTTTATCAATTTTGTTTATCTTCTCAAAGAACCAGCTTTTAGTTTTATTGATCTTTGCTATCGTTTCCTTCATTTCTTTTTCATATATTTCTGATATTTTTATGATTTCTTTCCTTCTGCTAACTTTGGTGTTTTTTTTTTGTTGTTGTTCTTCTTTCTCTAATTGCTTTAGGTGCAAGGTTAGGTTGTTTATTTGAGGTGTTTCCTATTTCTTAAGGTAGGATTGTATTGCTGTAGACTTCCCTCTTAGAACTGCTTTTGCTGCATCCCATAGGTTTTGGGTCTCATCACCCCATCTTAACTATAGAGAAACTGAGGAACAGCAGTGTAAGCAGCTTGCCCAAGGCCATCCAGCTAGTAAGTGGTGGAGCCTAACAGTCCAGTTCTAAGGCTGACAACTTGACCACTAATCTGTGCTGCTGCTTAGATGAAAAATTCGATTGTAATATTAAAACAGGCCTAACTGCCTTAAAAACTAGCTCTAGCTCTAGTGTAGAAGAGTTACTCTCCAGGACTAGAGTTTTCATGATTCAAAGATGGGACGTTACCAACCTTTGAATTCTTAGAAAAATTACATGAGGTGAGATTTAAAAAAAATATCCAAATGGGAAGAGACAAAAACTAAATTATCATTGGAAAAAAACCAGAAACATTTCCCTCTCTGAGGCAAAGTCATTCAAATCACTAGAAAATCCAAAAGCATTCTCTGATCAGACTTTGAGTCATTATGAGATTTACTGACACACTTCCAAGTCCTCAGTATGTGCTCACAGCAAGAGGCACGAAGATTTTTGACCCAGCTGCACTGCCACCTGACCTAGGACCTCAGCAAATGCACACAGTGTAGACAGCAGCTCCCCAGAACGACTCTCTGAAGAAAGGCCTTAGGAATTCTGAAATCTTGGAAGCTCCTGTGCATTGTCGTATCACAGATGAGGGTTGCCCTACCTGCCTTTCAGGGCTGTGCTGCTCCAAATTCAACGAGATGAAGTATGTGAAAAGGCTCCGTGATCTGTAGGTCTCAGATGAAGGGAGACTTTTTACTTTTTATCATTGGCATCAGGAAAAGGTGACTAAATGAGATCATTTGTATTGTGCCTTCTGTGGGCAGAGAGCAGTACAACTGAAATGTACTGCTGTGGTGGCAGGGCTGGTGTGCTGTCCAGAGCACACGTGCCAAGCAGTTAATTCAGAAAGAGAGAGAGGTGGCCTGTGTCATGACACTGGCCAAGAACTGGCCAGTCTCCAGTGCGACCATGAGTAGCGGTGGTTTCAGGGGTTCGATTGTAACCATCCACACAGAATTCAACTGCTGGAGTCAAAGCCAAAGCACATTTAGCTGTGTAGCCATAGAATCTAGAGCTAGTGCCCACAGGTCCCCACATAGGAGTGCTGGGGACTCGCTCACTGTACAAACATCCCCTGACTCTGGCATGTGGTCGTGGACAGGTGCTAAGGGTACCAGTGTGAGTACAGCAGACCCTCGGAGCTGCCCCTGTGCCACTAACAGCCATGAAATGACTGTGCAAAGAATTGTGAGTACAGCTGGACAGATATTTGACTTTCACAGTTAAGTGCTAGCATATCTTAAAACCTCTGCGTTTCAATGAAGTCTTTGAATTTCTTTGTGTTTCCTCCATGGTTCAGAATAATTTCGTAAAACCACTGGCGTTAGGATGGAATCACAGTTTTCAGCCAGTTAACCCCTTCATTCTCCAAAGACATAGGGGCTCTGTGTGCTTTGCCCAGGGTCACTCGGCTGGTGAGGGGCGATGGCTGTACCTGCAGAGGGCAGGTCGGCCATTCTGGAGTTCACTTTCCCCCTCAGGACTCAACACGGACGCCAGTGTCCGTTAGCGGACAGGGCATGGAGTGACTTTTGTGTTCATTCTGTTTCTGCTCTGAGGTGTCTCGATTTCTGGGTCACTGTGATTGTATTGTGCCTAGAAATTTTGGAACCTTCTAACAGGGCCAGTCTAGAGTGCTTCAGGAGGAACTGTTTGCTCTTCTGTCACTATGTCCCCGAATCCTAATTGATGGCGCCTAACTAGAGAAAGGATTCCTTTCTGACCTGTTTTTCAGGACTTGTTCATTACTTACAATAAGGTACCTTCCAAAGTCTGCCAGATGCGAGTGCATAACGTTTCTAATCAGAGTCCAACCAATCCCAGAAAACTAGTTTCAGTGAAAAATGAAGTGACTAATGGACTAAGTTTAAATGATTATGAGCTGGGTGAAAATCTCATTTTTCTAGTCAAAATAGTGTGGAGCTGTTAAATTCAACTTCTGAGATTGTGGGTTTGAATATTAATCTTCCTGAACACACACCTTTTTATTCCATCTGTAATTGGAATGCTTAAAGTGTAATCATGTGCAAGAAACAAAGCATGAGCTCTAGTATTCAAAATAAAAACTGCCAGTCCATAATCTGGTTCTGAAGTATTTTACAGTTCTTCAGGGGAAGGGGACCAACATTTCCTGAGGACCTACCATGTGCCAGGCTCTTTACTGGCATCTTTTTTATATGTTATGGTTTATTCTTCATAACAGCTCTCTCAGACACTTATGATTATCCCTTTATTACAGAAGATGAAATTGGTGCTCAGAAAGTCACTGACAGGGCTGGGGTTTGAACCCAGGTGTGACTGCTAAAACTTCCATTTTCTATAATACCAAACGATTTAACTTCCTTCCTGGAGACACTGTCTAATTGAGAATCTATAGTTTTGCCCCTTAATCCAGTAAGTGAGTCTGAATTATACTGAAGGAATTCAAAGATTAATATAGCAACTACCCACATTTTGCCAGCAAATCCATCTGACAATGGTAGCCATGATGATGATGATGATAAAAATGGCTCAATGTAAGCAAGGCACCATTCCACTTTATATCCTACGTATGGTCTCAGTTGAGTCTCACAACCATCCTGTGAAGTACCTGCTGTTATTATACTGATTGGCTGAGGCCCTGTGTGGCAAGGATGGGATGTGAACCCAGATACGCAGTCTGAGGTCTGGGGATATGCTTTCATCACTCTTCTATACAGCTGTCAAATTAAATAGAACAAAGCAAGGCACCTAAAGACTAATTATCAACATATTTTACTTCAATTACTTGATGGAAGACAAAATATTTGAATGTTTTATAAAGGATATTCCCATGTTAACTAATAAATCGAGGGGAGTTCTTATCATGATTGGCAGTGGTGGTGAGAGTGGTGATAATAAGATACAAGGTCTAAAGTCACATAAATGTTAACATGTCGAAGAGAATTCCAAAGGAATCAGCCCTTCAAGTAAAGGGAGTAAGGGTTGGGATAACCCACTGTACTACAATGAAATAGGGGAGATCTTATATTTCTGAGCATAGTGGTACTGGTGACATCAACCAGAAGCTACTACCGTGGAACTGACTTTTCCTTAGAAGGAACGGGCTTCCACCCTCTCCTGAGCTAGCCGGTCTCCACCACTGTGGACAGCCCGCAGGCCTGCTCTGCCAAGGGAGACTTGCCTCTGTGTCTCTCTGGCTTAGCAGTTCATCATTTTCTGTGGAAAAGTTGAATCAAAATAGAAAAAAAGCTCAATCTCCTCTGACACCTCTCTCTCTAGGCAATATCTGTTTGGGGCTTTCTTTTCAGAGGCAGGAATAGGAGAACATTTCTGAATTCTGTGTTCATCTTCTATCGTTACGATATCTTGTATCATAGCTTCTCAGCTGTGCAGTCTTAGAAACATCCCTAATCTCCCTCTTGACCCTAGTCTAAGTGTCATGGTACAGGCTCTGGAGCCAGACTGTCCAACTTGGAACTCCATCTCCGACGCTCGTCAGCTCTGAGCGCTGAGTCAAGCTACAGCCTTTTGAAATGCCTGTTTCTTCATCTGAAAAGTGGAGATAATATGGGATTATACCTCCTGGGGTTACTGCAAGTTAGAGCACATAAAGCATTTAGAACAGTGCGAGGCACATGGGAAGCATGTCAACAATATATTATTTGCAACTACTGAGTATGTCTTACAGGCCACTGTTCATAACTGTTCAGGCAGCAAGCCTGAGCTAAACCAGATCAAAGTTAGGGCTTCTAGTCCTGTGTTTCTGATGAGGTTGGTACATGTTGAACTATGTATGGAATTGTTCTATGGAAAGACTTCAACTCTCGATATAATGCAAGTAGTAACTATTTATTATATTGACATATTTACAAAATATTACAAAGTGAAATACCACTCTAATTCACCATATTACACAGGGCTGCATACAGGCAAGACAAAGTATGGAAAAACATTTACTTCTGTCTTTGGTATTAGAAATCTACACAAATTCGCAGCATTAAAGTTTCCAATATGAAGTATTAAACATAGACAAAGATGTAATTGGCAACGTCATGAAAAGGACTCTACTATCCTCTACTGGGAAACCCCCAGGTCCATGAAATGCAACAAGAAAGAGAGGGAGTCTATCGGCTAAAACAACAATAAAAGAAACAGCACAAGTTACAATACTGTACACAGGAGTGTTTATGAAGCTGCCCTCTCCATAACATTTGGCAGACAGTAACAGACAAAACATTCCCCAGACACAGTGTTGCACATAAGACTTTATGGGAAAGAATCCACTCCAAGATACACCTTGAGGGTATAACTTTACTGTACAGAACATCTTATAAAACTCAATTTCATGATCATTTACACATATACAAAAACTTAACTGGTTTTTGCAAATAATAACTTTTCTAAAACACAATCACAGTTTACATAATTCTGAGGTAAAGGTCCTGAATCTATTCTATTTAAGAAGTCCTAGCCCACGAGGGTCTCTAAAGGGAGATGTGTCCAATGAACATCAAGTTCTGGCCCTCAAGTGGGTTGGGGAGAAGGCCAGCCACGCCCACCTCATTTTAGAGATGGTCCAAAATTTCAGAACTAAATGTTCCTACTTTGGCTCTATTAAGTTAATGCTTATAATGTTTTCTGCAAACACTCTCCGAGTCTTGTCAGAACATGACTTCCGCTATGGAGAAAATATTTCATCAGGAAAGGGCCAAGTTAGTGTCTTAACTTGACTGTCTTGACTGGGCACTCTGTACATCCCAGGAAAAATGTACTTAGACTCCTCACATAAAGGGTGAAGACTTGGTCAAATAAGTGCACTGCAGACTGATCTTCCCACTGGTTAATACACACCCAGAAATGGCCTCAGATGGGAAGAGCCTCAGTGAGAGCTGGGATTCCCCAGTGAATAAGACCAGAAAAGCCTAGTGACCCTCCTTCTGTCCCTGAAATGCATAAAGGACCTTGCTGTGCTTTCCTTCAAAAATCCTCGACAAGGTTGTTTGTGCTACTGTAAATCCTCTAGGAAAATGTGGGAATCAGCAATATATCGCAGGTCTTTTTTCTGTGGGGGGGGGAGAGGGGGCTGGGGGGGAGGTGTCAGGGGAGAAAAAGGCATATGTTAATAGATGTTGCTTCTCTAAAATGACTTACTATAAATCATAGCCCTTGGTCTGTTTCTGTAAACAATGCCACCTTAATTCAGATTATTTGTGACTACCTAAAACATACCCAACCAAGATTATCTCATAAGTGAAGTACTACATTTCCAAAATAACCCTATGAAATCATGAAGGTTGTGAAGATTTAATATGAAGATACTCTTTTAGGTACTCTTCTGTATGTCTTCTTTTTATGAAAAAGTTTGCAAATCTCATCAGGACACCAAATGAATAATGGACCCCCCCTCCTATATAATATCACTTATGAAGCAAACCTGAGCATTTGTCTCTTATATTTTAACATGAGTAACATCGGGGGGTAAAAGTGTTTGCCAGGCAATGAGTCACCTTGTGAAGCAATTTAAGACAAGTAATGCTGGATCTTTCCAATAAGCTGCCCCAGTGGCAGAACTCCCATTTTTCTTCATGCTGGGAAAGGCAAAATTAAACTTCTGCTTCTATGTACCATCAAAAATTCTGGTGAATGGCACGTGAGAAGAAAGTAACGATGTGTTAAGCATTTACTAATGGCTGGCTGGCATTCATGGCGTCTGACTGGACGAAGGAAAAAGAAACATGAACCAATGTGTTTGCAGGAGGAAGAAAAGCTTTTGGCTTTGCCCTGGTCCCTGACGATGACAGGCGGGCAGGCTGTTTCTTGCACAGCTCTAGGCGAGCCATTAATCTGTCCGTACCAGCATCTTTAGAAACCCCAGCATTAAGACTTAGGAGGGGAAAAAGAGGGAGGATGTTGAATAGCCAGAAAGGCAGCTTTTTAAACACTTCAGTGAATTCATAATGCTGTGCAGGCTTCTGTGTATCCCTTCTCTGAAATTCCTGGTGCGGGGCGCAACGCTGGATTGGAATTTATTCATCTTCTTCCACATACGTGGATGGAAACCAGCCCACCTAAAAGGGAAAAGCAACCAACACAGCACCGTGACTCTGCATCTGGCACTTCAAAGGACTCTACAGAGCATTTCATTTTCATAACACCCCGAATTAATCTGGCCTTTTATGCCCACTGCAGGTGAAGAGGATCGGTTTAAACTGCTCCTAAAAGCCCAACAGAGTGAGTGACAGAAAGGGTGGAATACAATACCCTTAAACGGTGTTCTAACCTGCTAGCACACAAATATGTAAATTAAGGGACTCTACTAGCTAATGCTTCCTATTTCTGCTGTAGAACAAGATATAAAGACAGAGGTCCTGTGCCCCACTCTTTAAAATTTAGATCATCAGCTCTTATAGATATTTTGTACTCCACATAAAGTTTATGCTCTAGACTTAAAAAGAGGCTTAGAGACTCAAAAGAACTGATATGCTCAACCCTTTTCCCAACAGAAAGCCATCAAACTTGCCCAAATAAACTTTATCGATGCCGCTATCATATTCACTCAACACGTTTTTCTTGAGTGCCTATTTTCAGGAAGGAGCACCACCGTGCGGAGCCAGGGCTCTGGTGGGGGTGAAGCCGGCCACACGGTGTAGGGTTCCCCCCACCACAATGGGCGCCGGTGGCTGCCCAGCCCCCTTCATTCATGTGACGAGCACATTGAGAGGGACAGCTCACCCTGCCATTTACTTCTCCTCTCCACCAGCCATTCGCACTCATCTTCGTGTAAATCTTCACCACATCTCCTTTCAACAAGGACAATTCTCGCATATCTCTTGCACAGAAGTCATACCGAGCGATGGCGATGCCCAGCACCTTTGGACTTAACACTGTAAAGAAAGGATGGGGCGTCAGAATTGATGTGCAGTTTACCAACCATAAGCCCCTAATCAGATGGATGTCATAGATGCTGTCAAAATGCGCGGCCGTGATTTTGTCACAGACTAGTGATGATGGCAGAGGGGCTTGAAAGCAGCAGAACTGCTGTTTCAATTCAGTCAGGTGTAGTCAAGTTCATTTCACAAAGTTTAAAAAACTTGTTCTGTTTTCACATTCTTCATAGGAACTTCGAAACAGGGACTAGTTTTTGTAGTTTAGAAAAAACAAAGACTAATATCTAAGTTACTACCTAAGGAGATAGAATCTCAAATAACTAGCATAAATTTCCTATTGATGGCATAGTGATCCATTTTTAACTTGAACCTCTATGGTCAAAGCTTCACATTTTTATCTTGTAAACTTTTCAACTTAAGGCTCAAAGCAACCAACTTTTTTTGCTCTGAAAGTCTCTTGTTGAATCCATGTCATCACTTCTATCCTCCCCCCTCCCCACGAACAGCCTTTGTTTTCAGTTAAAACTATTTAGGGACAGTTACTCTTTTATATATAATTGTACTCGTGAAGAAGCTTAAATCATGTTTCACAGAATAAACAGATTAACACCATCCATTTATCTTGTTTCAAACAAGTACTGCCTTATAGAAAACCTTTACTGAAATACTTAATCAAAAAGAAGATTCAGGGCATCTGCCTCCTATATTCAGTTTTTTGTTTTTTTTTAAATGGTAGGAGAGGAGCTAACTTCCTCCCTGCCCTCACCTGCCTGTCCTGAAAGGAAAATTCTGTTCCAGCTGTACATTTGTTTGCCTCTAGTGTTTCATGACACATTTTATATTAACATCTCTACCTGTTGCTCCTTGGGGTTATAAAGTGTTTTCAATCATACGTTCAGTGATTCTGAGAATCACTCACTTGAGATTGGTGGGACTTTATCAACCTTAAATGGTAGAGAAACTGAAGTATGAGAAAAAAAACACGGGAAATGCCACACATCCATATTTTTAACGGTTCCCAGTGCCTAGGCAGCTGCAGTTATGGCCTGTTACCCTGGAAGAGCCTGCCCACTTGGAGACTGGGATCTCTGGCCTATTTTTCAGGGCTCTGCAATGACAGAAATTTTTTTTTAGTCTCCAGGTGTCCGTCATAAGATAAACGAATAGCAATGCTGTAAATTTCAGAACTGTAAAGGAGCAAAAATAGGTCATTTTATTTTACTGTTCAGACACAAACCACTTTAATAGTTTTCTTACTGAAAACCATCCCATTACTGGGGCACTACTCTTAGAGTCGTGCACATAAAAACATCCCAGTGATGGAAAAACCCATCCTCAACTTAACTGTGTGACCTTGTACAGGTCTCTAAACCCTTCTGGGCCACATTCTCTTCACCTATAAAATGAAAGGTCTATACTAGATGACTTGTAAGGGCCTTCTGGTACTAAATTATTCCATTGGGACTTAGAGGTTAATTTTTAAAAATCTGTAAGAAAACATACTTTATCCAGCCATCATGTACTCCCCTATGTGTCACATAAACAGCCCTTACATTCTCTGGCTAATGACAGAAATCAAGACCAGAATGCCCTGCACAAACTGATGGGCACAGTCATCCTTTAAAGCAATTTGGACCGAATTGTACTCTTATATTTGGAGATAAAGTTGGGATTTTGGTCCTATTTATTTTCCTAATGGAAATACATGAACACTGGCTTTTCTCAACTCAAATTTCTGATCCTCAGGAAAACTAGTTTTATGGAGTGCTTCATTCCCCCTTTATACTTTCGGCTCTCAACTCTTTCCAGCTGATGAAAGAGAAAATGTCTTGCTGAAATACATAACATGAGCACACACACAAAACCAGAGGAGTGGTATGTCAAGACAGACGATGACTTGATGACAGAAAAGGAAAGTGCATGGTGGGAATGGGACTCGAGGGGCTGTTTGTGAGGAGATGTTTCTACATGAGAAGCCATACACAGAAGTCAAAATATTTCATTTGCAAACAAAAGCAAGTTGAAAAGACATATAAAAGCAGTAAAGCAGTACCTGACCAGAAAGGAGTGGAAGAAGGGGGAACAAAGCTGTAGTCTGGAGGAGTTACAAAAGAAAACCCACAGAACAAAGAAGGGGCTTAGAGAAGGAAAGAAAAAGAGAGAAGCAAAGACCATTTAGGTGTTGGCAAAACATATTTCGACACAGCTATTTCGTTGTCTATAACCTTAAGAAAATTGTCATATCAAAGTTGAAATATCAAGCTTTGCTTTCACCCACTTGTCTCCTATCACCATTTCTAAATGAAGAACAAGCCAGATTATTACATTTTGACTGACATTAGTTCTGCAATTCAGAGCGATCTGTCCCCTTATAGGTGAACACAGCATACCCACTCTATCCAAGGACGGCCTTCTCCTCTTGATGTGGTGCACAATTCCCACTTTGTCACATCAGTGGAGAGGGGGATCCTGTAAATTCTTAACGTAAAATATGCTTCACATCAAAACTGATACAAGAAGTAAGAGCCTATAGGGTGGTGTCAATGAAACATGCAGCGCCCGTTGAAAATTCAAGAAAATCACTCAGACGATTTGTTAGGAACCACACACACCCTCCAAACCAGCATGCACATGCTAGGTTACTTCCAAAAATAAAATGTAAACCACTTTGAATTATATCTGGAAAAGAAAGTAAATCTATCCCCAACTTGTAGGAATGTACAGAAAATTTCTATGCATTTGGATGCTCAAAAACGTCTCACGTTTTAATAATCAGAGCTAAAATGATCAAATGGTTTGGAAGTGTTAGATGCCAGGCTCAATGTTTTATATTCATTTAATTATCACAGCAACGCAAAGGGGAAGGTACCCATGCTATTTCTTCTTCAGATTTGAGAACAACCTAGATTCAAACCTAGGCAGTGTGACTCCAGAGCCGAGGCTCTTCACTGCTACCCCGCTCTGCATCTATCCCTCTGCTTCAGGTACCACCTTAGGCGGTTTTAAAACTCTCCCTGCTGATACCATGGTGCCATTGCAATGGAGAAGGAAGGTGTGGTTGTAAACTTTCTCCCAATATTTATCCCTCCCTTAACCCATGTAATAGGTTATTTCGTTGGGCTATGTTTGCCCAGAAGGGATACTAAGTTCTTGCTACTGGGATATATACAGAAGTATCATAAGGCAACTTCTGGTACCTTTCCTGGGAAGGCAGCTGGCACACACCTTCACCCTTCTCTTTGATTCTTTATTCTATGCTGCTGTCTGGAATGTGAAAGCTACCATTCTGCTTCTTGAGGAGGCTGCCCTCACCTTAAGGATGAGCTTCAAGGAAACTGAGTTACTGAAAATTTTATGGCAGAGATACTCCTGTCAAGAAGGGGCCCTAGAGATACTAAGAACGTCAGTAGCTCATTAACGGGATACTTAGATTCCAACCAAGTAAACTGGGGAAAGGAATTGGAAGGAAGGGTTCAGACGTTCTTTGGTTCATATATACATTGGTGCATTCAATGACACTTTTCTCATAAATGGCTTCGCATACTTACTTTTAGCCTGCCCTGAAGTATATCCTTGTTAATAATCAAGGTTCTTTTCTAATCCATTGCATGTTCCAAGTTACACTTTTTTATTTTTAAAATGCAGCAGTACATGCTATTACAGCTAATTTTACAATCTGCGCAATTCACTTATTGCCATGCAGTGTAACTGGTTTGTTTTGTGTTCCTCGAGATCATATTATACCCACTGTTAGAGAGAGGAGAGGATGTCATCTTTAATTTAAGGAAGAAAAGGCACCCTAACGCTACTTTCGGCAGAAAATCTAGTGCCAAGATTCCTACCCCACGTTTGTGAGAACTTAAATGAGAACTCCTCATTCTCTCCATTACTTCTTTGTAATGAGGGGCATTTTCTCCCCAAACTGCTTTCTCAAGTGTCCATCCCCGATTCTATCTCTGGGACTATTTATCCATGGAGTAATAAGAGCAGACAGTATTTCCCCAAAATTTCTAATGAATTCAAGAGTCTGAAATATAACAAAAGATAAGTTAACTCTAGAAGGAAGAAATAAGAAATCAGTGAAAACACTATTAAATGCTATTTAAATCTCAAAAATAGGTTATCTAATCTATCTACCTTTCTCTCATCTTAAAATATCTAACATTCCTGAATATGGATAATGCCTCACTAGAGGACTTGAATCTGTTCCAAATACATAACATCGCTGTGCTACCCCTCTCTCCTAACCCTAAAAGCCCTGCAAACATTTGCATTCACGTCAAGTACCTATAATTTGAACCATCTTAAATCTTATCTAAACATTATCATCTTTACTAAATGGTAGCTCTTCCCACCGTGGTTAGGCCTCCGCTCCTCTGCTGGCTTCACTCTAATTTTTTCCCCAATGAATGGAACAGATTCTTGGATATGCCTTGGGGCTCCTCCCCTGAATTCCAGTCTGTGATTTCACACATTTTCATCACCCTGCCATGACGTACAGTCATGATCTCTGATTTAACTTGTCTGAAACCAAACTCATCATCTTCCTCCCTGTAACCTAGCTCAACCTCCCACAATTGTGTTATTTTTCCAACTACTCCCACGTTCTCTTTGCAAACCATCTTTGCAAGGTCAGTATGCCTCTTTAGCTCTTTCTGTCCACTCTCCTCTTCCTCTGAGATATAAAGTTGTTCCTTCACTAAATTCTCAGTTCCACCATCCCAACTCAGGGACTTACACCATTTCTAAACTAAGACAACTGCCTCCTAATAGGTCTTCTTACTTTCAGCTTTCTTTCCATTCTATTCTAAATGCCGCCTCTCAGCTACTCACCATAAACAGACTCATCATTCCTTTTCCTAAATTATAAAATCCTAACTCTTGACTTCAATTCCATAGCAATTCGTAGTCTGGCTATATCCTGCCTTTCTCACCAAGTCTTCCATCATTTACCCACACAAATTCTTTTCATCCCAGCTTCCTAACTGCCCCCCACC